CTCAATGAATAAGATCGTGACAATTAAATCTCCTCTCAGGGTTTGGGAATTGTTATGAAGAAGATGCACACTCTCACACACGGTTCTGGCTAAGTTTCTGAGTATTACTGCTAATTTTATTAATCTTCAGCACAGCCGCAGGCTGAGTCAGCTGCCACACATCTCAACTGGTTCCGGATTCAGAGAAGCATTGTATCTGATTTGGCTATAGAGATTATTAACCATGTTCGGGCTTTATTATAGGGACCTGATTTATAGTAAAAAAAATAAATAAAAAGGAGAGTCACAAATCAAGACTCTCTCAGTCAGTAATCATATATACTCTTGTAAAATAATGCTATTATTGGTATCTCACAGCAGCATCAGGATCCCTTATTGTCATCAGTGAATGACAACATTCTGTTATACTTCTACATTGTCCAAGATAGAATCAACTTCACTGAAGAAAGCAGCAAAGCTTTTAAAAATCCATTATTTAGTAGAGAACGAATAGCTATATAATAAAATATTAATTGTTCTATAAAACACCTCGGAGAAAAACACTGTATTTACCAGAAACAATAAATTCTTTTCTCTGCATTTCTATTTCTATTTAGTCCACTATGATCTGGTCTACCAACTCAAGATACACATGTTTATCTAATTAATGTCTTTTGTTTATCTAATTAATCACTACAAAAGAGCAGAAAATCCAAGATTTCCATTTTGAAGCCTCCCACCCACCTTGAGTTGTTCAAAAACACAAATGTTTACTTAGTCCAGTGGGATCCACCCTATTTCTTTACACAGCAAGCAGAATGGATGTGTGTAGTGGTTCTCCACCCCCTTTGGTCTCGTGGTGGGGCTGCTGAGGACTGGTCCTGTGTGGCTTGGTTTGTACAAGCTTTTATACGAATGTAAGTTTTCATTTCTCTAGGATAAATGACCAAGATGAAACTGCTGAGTTGTATGGTAGGTGTGATTTTAGTTTTAAAAGAAATTGCCAAACTACCTTCCACAGAGTGGTTGTACCATTTTACATTCCCTTTAGCAATGCATAAGTGACAGATTTTTCTGTCTCCTTGCCAGCATGTGGTGTTGTCACTATTTTTTATCTTACCCATTCTTATATGTAGGTGTATAGTGATATCTCATTGTAGTTCTAATTTATATTCCTCTAATGGCTAATGATGTTGAGCATCTTTTCATGTGCTTATTTGCCAACTGTCTATACCTATACGCTTTGGTGAAATATTTGATGTCTTTTGTCCATTTTCTAATTGGATTGTTTGTGTGTGTGTGTGGGGGGGCGGTTACTGTTGAATGTTGAAAGTTATTTACATATTCTAGATACAATTCCTCAGTCAGATGTTATTTGAAAATATTCTTCTAGTATATTGTCTTTTCATCTTTTTATTAGGGTCTTTCACAGAACAATTTTTATAAATTTTTGATGAGGTCTAATTTATCAACTTTTCCTTTCATCCACTTACTTTCCATTCAACAAATAATTATTCCATGTCTACAATTTATCAAGATAATGTTCCAGGCACTTATAAGAATCAAAGATGTGACATGGTCCCAACTTCAAGGCATCTCCAATCTAGCTGGGGATATTGGAGATATATCCAAACACTAAATATTACATAACAAGTGCTAAGTGGCATGGAAGAGGTAGAGATATATATATATCTTTTAGAAAATCAGATATCATATTTTGGCTAATAGGGAAGTAGAAGGTGAAAGTTTCACCACTTCTATGCCAGAGAATGCCACACAATGGCATAGGAACTTCCTTATAAACTTATTTTTTCTAAGTTAAAATTATAATTTTTAGATAACTAACATATATTAAATTTCATTCTGTGCAAAGGAATTCTACATACATTGTATCAGCTAATGATCTTGCAGGGCAGCGGAGAGGATTACCACCATACATATTTTTTTATTTAGGGAATCTAGGATTCAGCGAAGTTAAGTAACTTGTCCAAGGTCACACACACAGGAAGTGGTAAGGTCAGACTGGCACTCCAGTCTTGTGATTAATACTCTTTTAATTCTTCCCAGAATCCTCCGGAGACATGTCCTTTTCTTGCCAGTATAAACTCATCAATCTTCTGGCTAAGAAATGGACTGTCTGATTCATGTTTTAAAAGAACAGGTAATACATTTCCTTGGTGCACAAAAGTCAGTGAGTTCTTCTTGATAAAGGAAGAATCCATTAAAATTCTTACGGTGGTCAAGATCATACCAAAAATGAAAAAAAAGAAAAAAAGAAAAAAAAAACCCACTGGCTGTGAGTCATGAGGGGCAAAAGAAGGGCTGGATATTGCTGGAATTCAGTAAAATTTTGCTAGATGACAGCTCAGGATGGAGTAATCAAGGAGGTAGCATTTTAGGTCATGTTCTTTGCAGGTTCATTGTTACTCAAATCATCCTCAAATGTCAAACCTTTCGTGGTGAATAATTTTAAAAAATCAATAATAGCTCTAGTGAAGAATTGAAGTTGTATCTGTTTCTGACCTAAAGAATGAAAAATAAGAAACAGTGCTCTTCCTCATTTATAATGTCTCTGTATCTCCATCTGTACTTTTCTTTCTGTATTTATTATGTGACCTTGCCCAAGTCATCAAACTATCCTGTATTTGTCTTTCTTTTAAAATGTTTGTAACTTATGGAAGATATTAAGACTTGTGAAGAGGTGAATTTATATATTAGGTCAGTTTTGCAAATAGCTGCATGTTAAATAACCTTTGAACCCGGCACCCATTCTTGTCATGATGCAGCCACTGTCTGGCTATATGTGAGGAGTAATCCCTTCACATACCATTACATTCACACCTCTACTCTGCTGGCCTGGGATCCAGCTGCAGAAATGGAGGTCTTCATAATGTCTGGGCATAACTGAACATGAGTGTTCACAGGTGGCTGTTGACCAGCAAGAGACACCTGGAGGAAAGCATTCATGAACTACCTGCAAATATTTGGGCAGATTTATTCCCGCCACTGTGTTCATCTCACTGTCCTTGCTCACCCGCAAACAATCAGAATATCCCAGGCCTGACCATCAGACTACCCAGTTCATAGACTGCACAAGGGGCAGAGCATGACTGAAGCTGGGCAAATGAGTTTTCTTGGGCAGTTTAATGTGCACTCTGGGAAAGAGAAGATCTGCCTCATTTTTGGATCGTGACCACTGAGAAGTGAATCCTGGAGCTGCCAGGCGTCACCATGTGAAGTAAGTCAGCTTAACCTACGGAGAAAAGCAGAGAGGTGAGGAGGAAGGAGAGAAGAGGGAAAAGGGAGAGGGAGAAGAGACTCTCCTTCTACTTGACATCACTTGAAACCCTGAATCCACACGTATCTGAAGTTAGATCTATCATTGTATATAACAAAAGGCAAAAATAAGAACATTAGACAAATATATTTGGTTGTGTATTTGTAGATTTTCTCTAGGAGGGTACACAAGAACATGATAGCAACGGTTGCCTCCAGGGAGAGGAATGGAGAAGCTGGGAGACAAGGGTGGGAGGGAGCCTTGTTAATCGTGTACTCATTTGCACTTTTTGAATTTCGCACCATGCCAATGCTAATCAAGTGTAGATAAATAAATTAAAATAAAATTAAAATGAAATGTAAATAAAATCTTCCACTTAAACCAGTTTATAGATAATAAAATCTCTTTAAGAGAGAAAAACAGATCTTTAGAGAAATCGTCCTTTACCTTCCAAGTTCCTTTCTTAAAGTTTTTTCCCCCCTGCTGCGGACAGATCAGCCATCCATTTCTACTGCGCAAATGTACACGGTGAGAAGAGCCTCAATCCACCGTCCTGAGAGAGGAAGATTCCCAGGGTTTTCGGAATCACCAATGTAGCTCCACACTTTGTGGAATGGCTTTCATCCTGCAGCTAAAATTGACAACGTGTTTTCACTGCGGAGTTGTTCATGCTGAGGCTGTCCGTCTTTGGAAGATTCCAGGCCTTGTGCCTGATGGATGCAAACGCACCGTGAAGCCCGGCCCGGAGAGGAACCTTTCACTTCCCAGTGTCTCTATCGGGACCTGGAGCTTCCAGCATAAGCCCGAATGCGTCCCTCGCCTGCAGCAATCTTCGGGCGTCCTTCTGCCAGCACTGGCTCACTAAGCCCGCGGTGCGGCCGGGGTGGGGCTTAGAGCGATTTGGGCGCGCAGTGGCCTGGGACAGCTCCCCGAGCCCAGCGCGAACCCAGTCCACGCGTGTTGAACGAATGAGAGTCTCTAGCACAGTAAATTCACGAGATAATGAAAGGAAGTCAAACCGGGCTCACCACGGAGACTTTAAATACCCTGGGACTGACTGTAAAGTGAGGGAGAGCGGTCTTCTGAGGAGCGACATGCCGGCTCTAGTGAGGCTCCGGTGGGAGGGCGCCCACACTCCGGCCCGCGAGGGACGGCGTTGGTAGAGCCAGGCCGGCCCGGGATCCGGTGACCCGACACTCTGCGGTCAGGGAGGGGCCGAGCCTCCGGGGCTCAGGGGCAATGGACAGGAAAAGCGTTACTTCGGACCTGGGAAAGCCTAAGAGGTAACATATGGGGGCTCTTGGGTCGTGGCCCCTAGAGCGTGCTGCGCCGCAAGGGTGCGCCTGGGAAGGGGCGCAGGTCCCCGCCCACGGCGCGCGCAGCCCCAGCCCCGCCTCCTC